AGAATCAGCACAACGGTAGACATATAATTACCTATAAGTTTCATTGTGATTGTTTTGTTTATGTCGAATTTGCTCATGTTCTTCACCGTGCTGCCAGTCACCATATCAAAATAGAAGATCTTCACATTTAGTAGAAGACACGGAGGCGCCTTCCGAAATGTGACATCCACATTTCTTGAATAGACGCCGTTATCATCGCCTCCACACTTCTCGCATTTCGGCGTGTCTTCAATCAATTCTCTACTGAGCGAATCAACCATGCTCTGGATACTTGGTTTGTTCTCGTTATCATTCTGCTGTAGGTTAGTAACATAAGAGTAGTACTATTCACAAGTTGAAAGAAAGGATACAGTACCACCATTTAGAGGTGTAGTGCTTACCTCGAGAGAGAGCATTAGAGTTGTGAAGGTTTCTTCTCGTTTGTCAATTTCCCAACGGCAAGTGGCACAATTGGAGACACGACTTTGGCACCCAATGAAAGTATCTGCGATGTACGAAGGAGATGCAGGAGAAGTCTTGGAAGTGGACTCCACTTGCAATTGATCAAGTAGATGGTTGAGGTATTCTTGCGCATCCTCATGGGCATCGTCCTCAAAGTAAGTTGGTCGCGACTTACGAATAAAGCTGGAGGCGTCCACCTCTTTCTCGTCCTATAAATATACTCCAGAATTCATAGATATTTAAGGCAAGCTGATTTAATACAAAACGGAGGCAACACAAGGCACTCTCGAATTCCTACTTTTTGAGTCCTTAAGAAAATGACTGCAAATTAATTCTTTGTCAAGAGTTTACTTTTTTCCTCATATTATGGTGTGCGATAGACTTGCCTCCACGTTGTGCACCCTGGGCAACGTATACTCTAACGGCAAAAAAGTCTATTAACTGGCAGTTGACTTCTGACTTCAAACTTCCCTCACCCCATTGTATGCATATTCGAATACTTCCACAGTACTCACCTCACCTTTTTTCTACCTTTGTGTCTGTCTCTTTTACATCTTTGAAACACTCTTCTGTTCCCCCCCCCCCCCCAACTTTTTCAATTTGATGTTTCTTCCCCTCTGTGAAGCCTAAAGTCAACTAAAGTGCTAATGATAACCATCAAGACGCCTGCTATTTGATATAAATAAATAAATGGTCTAATATATTGTTTAAATCTCCCTATTTGGAAAATAAGCTGGTTGCTGAACGCTCTATTATTCATAATAGTGGAGAAATGAATTTCACCACTCCGGAATTCGAAAAGTCATTTCGAATAGTACTCACTAATCTTTTTTTCAATTTAAAAGAATACTTATCAGTAACTTTTGGGAGATCGAGTTTAAGATCTAACAAACAAGGTTTTAAAGGATTGGCATGAAAATCCATTTTTAGAAAATATTTCGTTTTTAAGATCAATTGTAGAAGTCAGATAACAGTGACAAATAGATAACACTGAAACTGGAGCATTCTGCATCGAAATAGTAACTCTCTATGAATTAACAAACAATAAACGACTTTCAACCAAACAAACTAGAAATCCACACAAGCACTTTTGAGAAATCAGATGTTAGATCCAATGAGCAACCACCATGACCAAAACACAAACGAACGAAGGAATACTCGAAAGTTGTAAACATGATCGGCACTTATCTTGAGTGGAGAGGTGGCACTCTGAAGCCCATCAGATGGCAAACTGGCCATCTGAATTCCCCATATTGACCGATCATTGAGTTATCGACTGTGCAATCGGACGACTTGGAAGACATGAGGGTCGACCACAAGTTCACTGAAAAGCAAATGACTTACCAATGGAGTGTCAAGGGAATCAAATACTTCCTTAAGTTCCTTATGCAAATCTCCACACGTTTCACCACTTTTACAATGCCTATCGAAGTGTTGGCGGAAAAGTGGAATTTTCGACAACATTTGTATAGTAGAGTTTCCATAGCATATAGTCGATGGGTTTCTAAGGCCGCGATAAGGTGCAATGATTGTCACCGCTTTGGAGGCTGAGTATGCACCCTACAGTAATCAGAAAAGAAACAAATTACCTCCAACAAATCGAAAAATAATCTACTTAATCCTGAAAGCACGGTGCCACCAAATTTCCACATTTTTAGTCACAAAGAGCGACTGCACGAAGGAATGGTTTGTCCTGAGGGCAGACAGGTTGTGTAGAGTCATTAGCATTTATGTCTTCTAACAACAACAGATAAATAAAATTTGATAGAATTATGCGTCAATCTGAGGACAGCCTGATTTTGTATGTTAAGATCAATTATAGTGTCTAATAGTAGCCAAAAATAATAATACTTAAAAGTATAAGCTGTGATGGGGACAATCAGAATGTGGAATTAGAATGTGCATTTCCATTGAAAATCACGTAGCACTTACCTCATATTTGTGAGGCGTTTCATAAAACATGTCCATTATCTCTAACCACAAAGGAGATAGTTCAAAAGCTTTTTCATAAGTCAAAGGCTCGAACAAAATATTCACTATCTTTGTAAACGACGATAAAATAAATATATTTAATCTAAAGGAAAGTAAGTCCAACAAATTGATGAGGAGCCGTTCTTCATACTCCGTTGCAAAGCCACAGACGTGATTATATAGAACACCAAGATAATGAGCATAAAAATACCGTAGAAATATTCCAATCTCATTCCAACGCATACGAACACCATTAAAGTGTGATAATATCGATTCTAGCGAATTTGCCGAAATTGTTTTGAATAGGTTGAAGCGTACTGCAAGAATGAATAGAACTGCCAAAACCACATGTAATTCATATGCGAATTCACTTTGAGTGCGTATAAAAGAGATTGTTTCGTCGATTAGTTGCTCTATCAGCGATTTGTCAAAGGTTCCGTCGCTGATGGCTTTGAACAGAATACAACTGATCCACAGAGATCCACGAAAACCAGAGACCATGGAGGTACATTTGAGGAAGAATTGAAACAGTTGAACAAAATCACTCGGAGAGTGCATTTGAGCTAACATCAAGCTGATACAACTGGAGATAATATCTTGCAACTGCTGGGGATTACTGCTATGACATTGGTACAGGGAATCAAAGATTATAGCTATAGTATGATCCAAAATCCGAATAGGAGACACCAGGGCAATACAGAATACGCCTGCTAACTTTGAATGATATTTAACCGGTGCAGAAAAAATAAATCTTGCAATTATCTTTGTGTGCTTTTCATTAGTCTCTGGTAATTTAGGGTTCTTCAGAAGAAAAATAACTCCACTACATGCCATTTTTTCCGAGACAGAAGATTCACAAGGGTTTAAATAACTGTCAATATCATTATTTGAAACAACTTCTTTGTTTTTTTCTAGTACTTTGCAGTATTCCAAGAACAGATCAATATCCCTAAAATATTTATCTGCATGTTCATCATCGCCAACACTAAACACATCTTCAGAGGATGTCTTAGTTCGCTGAGCATTTTCATCATCAGGTTTATAGCATTCAGATGAATTAAATAACGATGCCGCATGTAAAATTTTCTCTAAGAAATTCAATGATATCGATCCAAGTATGTCACTCGAGAACATCATTACCGCAAGTGCGATTGTTCGTAAATGTACTAGAATGATTTACCTTCAGTTATGAAATAACGATTCACCTAAACAAAGTCATCACAAATTGAAATAGCACTAATTTAGTTTTTAATTATTATAATTGGACATAAAATATATTAAAATTATTTTTCCGCTTTGCACTCACATTATGCAAACATTTATATTTGCGTTAAATAAAATTTATAACTCCATCTACCTCAATTGAAATCATTTCCAAATTATTATTTGCAAATGTATACAAAAAGCCATATATACATACTCGTAGTATTAATTTGTTTTTTATTGTGTTTTTGCCTTGAGGCCAATTAAATAAGGGGATCAATTCCATTATGATTATCATCAACGTCCAATTTCTACTTAACAATTAATGTGACCGCTATTCAACATCAATTAAATCGAATTCCCCACAAAATTGCTCAATAATTACACTATCAATCGGATGCGTGTGTCTAATCTGTAGCAAAACATAGCACTATATTTATAATTTTCCAGATATGTTCAATGCCATAAATTTCAAACAATGCATACGTCACAGCTTTGCAATAACCTCAGAAAAAATTTTCATTTAATTTTGTTCTACCGTTTTCTGATGTCGAAAATCGGGTGAGAGTAATTGAACTTGTTTGTCTTAGTTATTTAGGTTCACATTGTGACTTCTTTATGTCCGGTCTTTGAATAAATAAGAGCAAGCTATTCATTTAATGCATTTTTATTTTCGTTATTAACACTGTTCAATGAAATGTTTATTGCTATATTGAAAATAGGAGGCTTGTAATAGACTTACCTCCACGTGGTGCACCCTAGACAATGCATACTCATACAGTAAAAAAGTCCGAGACTCGGAAATTGATTTCAAATTATTACGACCACCCTGAAACGAAGCTATATGAGAAATCATCCTTATCAGGGCGAATCATAACTTCTACAGATCCTTCAGTGGAATGCAATGGGGATGTCACAGGACAAGAAGATCCAAATTCATAAAATCCTACATATCTAAGATATAGACATACTCACAATCAAGGAAGTCAGCCTTACGGATGATAAATTGAAGTGCTACCAATTCCCAGGATACACCTTATCCCTACTACCTAAATACCGGCAAATTGTAAGTGGAATTCTGACTAGAGTAAAAGTAGGCCTCACATCACATTACGATCTAATTAAGAGTATGGGCTCGACGCAAGTCATATGCGAAATAACCAAATTAAATATTTGGAAATGTCAAAACCACTTCAAGATATACGGAGTCTATAATCCACCTCAGAATTGTCTCATCTTTGACTTTCTGAACATCTCACACAAAACTGTAGTATTCGGAGACTTCAACGCCCATTCCACCAGATGGGGTTATAAGAATACAAACATAGCTGGAAAGGAAATCAGGGCTACAAGGATACAAACATAGCTGGAAAGGAAATTGAAACATGCTAAACCAATAAATGCTAAACAGCAATCCTCTGGAACTTATTTACAGCAATGGACAAGAATACAAACATAGCTGGAAAGGAAATCGAAGACATGCTAAACAGCAACCCTATAGAACTTTTTTATTGCAATGAGGATCCTGCTACATATTTGCACTACAATGGAACCAGAACAACTCCTGACTTCCTCCTGGCTTCAAACGACATCAGCGAGCATACGCATTGCAAAATAACTGACGTTCCTGGTTCTGGTCACAAACCAGTCATTGCGAGTATTGCCATCGGCAGCAAAATCGTGACAACGAAAGTGCCGACTAAGTTATCATGGAACTTCAAGAAGGCTAACTGGCCAAGATTCACAATCCTTTTAGAGAATGAACTTCACACAAGTCCCCTCAACTTCAACGAACATCCTGACAAACTTTCCAATGATATCACGAATATTATGATCAGATGTGCAAAGAAAACTATTGCCCATGGTAAGACTAAACACTATCGAGTGTTTTGGTCTGAACACCTTGAGGAACTGAAAAGTAAGCGGGATGTCCTTCGCAACACTGCTGAACAGACTGGAAGAACGGAAAGCGTGCAAGTCTGGAGACGAGAGTCAGCTGTCCTAAGACAAGCCATCTTACAAGCTAAACGGACTTCCTTTGACAACTTCATCACAAATATCAACTATCAAAATGACAGCAAACGCACTTACAAATTCCTGAGTAACCTCCAAAACAACAGTGAAAGACCCAAGAAAGAACCAATACGCTTAAACAACAAACTGCTTGCCACCGACTTCGAAATAGCTAACTACTTTGCTAGGTTCCATTCCCACAAGAAAAAAACCCTTCTGTCAGAAAATCTTCACGAGATATAAAGATACAAGACACATAATGCCAAATAATATACTTACTGAACCATTCAGACCTTTCGAACTTAA